ACCATGCACCCATTTCGACGTGAGCTGCACACATCTTGACGGCACAAACACGCCGCGATGGAAAGACAGGCAGATGCCATGCTTGATCCAGTGCTGTGCTTGATTGTACCTCCCATTGTCCTTCGTGAAGACCAGTTGCCGCCTCACTAAAAGGCCGGAGTTGAAGGCAATCCTGCAGAACGTGCAAGTCGAAGGCACTGGACGGTTAGGTCTCGACCTCAGTTTGAGCCAGCTTGCATGCCTTGGTTGTAGACAGTTTCTGGAATCTCCCGACAGCATCACGATCACGATTGAGTCCAAGACTCGCACAAATGATTTCAAAGCAGTGACATCACCGACTTGGAGTGTGGTAGCCAGAAAAGGCGTCCCTTCCAAAGCACAGCCGTCTTGGCCAGGCTTCCATGATTTCTTGTCATTGGTGCAGCTTTGCCGATCGGCACAGGTGACTTGCCAGACTTCAGAATACCGGCCTCCCAATTGGGGAACCGTCTTAATACACTTGCTTGCTGCGCAGTAGACTCAGGAGTAACCAACACCGGCTTGCCAGCTGCAGGGTTCATGCTGGACAACAGCCTGAGAAGTTGTGCACGGCAGGAGAAGATGGTAGCGCGAAGACAGCAGGCCGCTATACAGGACGGCGAGCACGAGATCACAGGTTTCAGGTAGATACGAATGAAACAGTACATACTCAATGGATGTATGGCACGTGGCTGTCAAGCCTGCAATGGGGATCTGGACGTTCTCGCGAGCGCACAGTGTGGTTTAGTGATCATTTAACATTTTGCTGCTCGGTCATGCCAATGATTTGCATGTTTATGAGTGCATGTGGAAGATGTCATGGCTTTTGACCAGCCCTACTTGTTCTGAGCCCTGGTATGATGGTGATGATGACGATGATGATATTTACTGTTGCTGCTGCATGCTGCTGCTAGCATGCGAGTATGACTAGTACCGGTCGTCTGTTGTCTTAGCTTCATGGTATTTCAATAACGTACCCGCCACGGAGATGTAAATTGCAGTTGCTGTTATATACATGATCTTGCGCACGGCTTGGTATTGCTCTACGGCTCCACGGTGCTGCATGCGTTATCTTATCATGCCGGCTATGCCATTCCGTGGAACTGGCACAGCGGAACAATCGCTGTGAGTTTTGCTGCGGGTGTGGGCGAGGGTGTGGCGGTGGTGGTGGTGGTGGTGGTGGTGGTGGTGGTGGTGGTGGTGTGCTTGCAGCCCTTCTGGGCTTCTTTCCTTGCAGCACGCGCAGCCGCTTTCTATTGCAAGATTTGTCAGCGCAAGGCAGAGACAGAGAGAGCAAGAAAGAAAGAGGGCTCAGACAGACACCTTTTGATGTTTTCGTCAGTGGCTCGGGACTGTAAGCTGCTGCAGGGGCGTTCAGGTAGGTATTCTGGTGTATGGGAGACCCTGGCTATGCACTGGTTTTATCACTGTTTGTAAGAGCTGCCCTGCGGTTGACACCGAGCGTTCAGCCCACATGGATGACCTGACTGTCACAGCCCATCAGCTTATTTGGATTGGTTTAGGAGGGGTGTTTCTAGGGGGGTGCGAAATGTGACAGGCAGGGGAACATGTGAGTGCATCTCCCCGGAAGGGGCCGTTCAGACGCAGAGGTGCGAGCCGCGAGGGGTGGGCCTTCGGGCCAGCGGTCCATGGGGTATACATAATGGAAGCCTTCCTCAACCCTGGTGATAGATACACATAATATGTATATGTGTGTATTAACATATATATATACACATAGATAGAGATATAGATATATGAGCGTTATATATATATATATATATTATATATATATATATACATATCGTTTGTACATATGTATGCATGTATATATATATATATATGTAAGCCTGAAGCAAATATGTATGTAGAGAGAGTGAGAGCAGCATACAGTCACACAGGTGATGCAGCTTCCACAAGGGAGGCGAAAGACAGAAAATGCAGCATATTGACATGTATGTCAGGATGGCAAGTGCCAGCAGATCACTTACAGAACTACTAGTTCCGGGGGCGAAGAGGGATCCCTCTTCTACAGCGTGATACTTCCTATGGGGACACGTCGTTGTTGAGTTGCTGGTGGCAGCCCTTGGGCATGACCTGGACCCTGGTAGCAGGACACGGGCTTCTCTCAGTCGGATGTCCAAGCCTACCGAGACTTCTTCCTTGCCGCGGCCCGGCTTCTGCATCAGTGAATGCGGAGCTTAGGCTGGCGGTTGACATGTGCGTTGTTGCGGAGCTGTTGCACTGAATGCTGTGTGCCTACTTCTCGTTGTCTTGTGCCTGAGGCTAGCGCAAACAGCAACACTGTCACGTTCGAGGAAGTCTGGACTTTGTTTCATAGTGCCCCCGAAGCAGACAGGCGTCGTTTTCTTGCAACTGCAAGTTCCTGCATAAGTAGGTCAGCGTCGCTTATTTACCTCTCAGAAATGTGCGTGTGCGAAATGCGCCACCCGGGGTTCGGCAGTTCGCACAGCGGCAAGGCACTACACCCTTGGGAAATGGCTTGACGGAGACACTGCATGCAGCCTTCAAGGATCAGCTGAGGCCGGGATTTTGGCTCGAGTCAATTTCTGCACATGTCCGACAGACTGAAGATGGCATGACAAGCAGGGTTTGTCGTTGGCGCTGTCCTAGCTCGAATGTCCCTGCGCGATCTACTGCAGCGGCTGCCATAAGCTAAACTCAATCTGGACTGCATTGCGCTCTCCCTTCGTGTCTCTGTGCTGTATGCCTCGCTTGCATGTCCGTGTGCGAGAGTCGATAGTCTGCCGCCTTTTGCATGCAGGTGTTTCTACACTCGTTTGTTCTATGCCCGGGATGAAGGAAACGTATTTGCACTCCTCACTGGTGCATGCCCTGCTTGAATCCCAACGAAATCCTACACCGGCGCCTTGTCCATCAGGCTACGCAAGGACGACCAAGGCGAGATGCAGGACGATGTGTTGGAGTTCCCGGACTTTTTGAGGTGGAGAGAGGGCGGGGGGAGGGGGGGCGCCGGCGGGGCCGGGGTGGGGGGGGCCAGGGCGAAACAGCTAGTAGCAGGAGCAGTCTCCTTCACATCCATTCGGCGGTACCTGCTCCGACTTACCAAAGGAAGGTGCTGGATGACATACGGATGTGCTGCTGGTGTTTGTTGAATCAGAAGTGGCATGTCTCACCCCGAAGTTGGGCTCACAACAATTTTGGGCAGCACACCATGTATTATCTCTGGTTCACAATGGAACCGGCTACATCGCATCATGCGAATCCGAACCGAAATTGCCAGAAAGATTCAAAAGGGGTTGCATGTCGTCGTGCTGAGAACTTTCAGAGCGAACATATATTATTTTCGGTGGTTCCTTATTATAGTTATAGTATACTGGGCCCCAAAACTCCAAAAAGCTGTCCTTATTAAAAGTATAGTATAATGGGCCCCAAAACTCAATAAAGCAGTCCTTAATATAATTATAGTATAATGGGCCCCAAAACCCTATTCTAATTATTAAGGCCCCTAAACTATGGCACTGAGGGTTTTGATGTATCAATCGGGAGTTGCTTACAGTACTTACGGTACAAGTTACAGCTAGCCTTGG